TCATTTTATTATTTTGCAAACATTAGTTTTGAATGTTCTTTGAAGATTCTAAAAATAGCAGTAACATTTAAAAGACGTTGGACAAATGTTCAACTATAATGTTTCAGAAGAAATACGTTCCATTTAAATGTTTTTTTTGAGAACATTATTAAAAGGACAGATAACTTTGAATGAGCGTTCTATTAACGCTACAGAAAGAACATCTCCATTAAAGGGGTCATATGATGCGATTTCAAGTTTTCCTTTCTCTTTGGAGTGTTACAAGCTCTTGGTGCATAAAGAAGATCTGTAAAGTTGCAAAGACTAAAGTCTCAAATCCAAAGAGATATTCTTTATAAAAGTTAAGAGTCAACCACGCCTACCTAAAATGCCTCGTTCTAACACGCCCCCACATGTCTACGTCACTATGTGGAAATATTAGCATAATGCCGCCCAAATGTGCACGCAAAGAAAGAAGGCGTGGTTTCAGGAACAGCAGTCGTGTTGATGCAGCCATGTCAGGGAGACGCTGTGTGATTCAGTGCGAAAGCAAAAGCACTTTATTTGGCCTTCCGTAAGTAGATGCAATTAGGAATCATTGGTTAAGATTTATTTACAACAGAACAGCACAACCCAGATGTTCAAATTTGGAAAGTGTGTCCAACTGAATTCAATTTGAGTTTTGTTAAACGAAGAAAAAAGAAGCTTAGTTTACCGCGGAAGCGGTCACGACTGCGGTCGTGGTAAGACCGAAGAGTGTAAAGACCATCGACTCTACCGTGCGACTCCACCGGGCAGGTGCACCAGCAAAGGATAAGTATCGCTTTTTATTTCTCCGCTTTCCTACTACTTGTTTCCCTTCTGTTTCAGTTTTTATAACCATTTCTTACTATGTGTAAGTTGTTTTTTAGCATGTAAGTTTGGCAGTGTTATTTTTTTTTAGGATTACTGATAAACTACTGTCGTTTGATTTGTATTATTTGTATTTGTTATTTATTTTAATTTTAGTTCAATTATGTCTGAATTTATTATGTCTGTATAGGTCTTTTATTAAGTTTTAGTTTTATTTAAAGAAGCAAATAAAGTATAACTCGGATAAAGAAGATAATGCATCGTGTGGCCAGTTCTGCTATAGACGCGCTGCTGACGCGCCTCGAACACTTCCGCTCAGTTACCATGACAACAGCGGGCGTCCGGTTTCCGAGCAACAGGAGGAGCGCGTTCCGTTCAGCGGAGCCCACTGATCTATAATAGACAACATTATATAGATATTATATATAGATTATATAGATCCGTGTTTGTCCGGTAGCGCTGCTCGTAAAGCACTCATGGATTCCGCCTCTTCACCTGCTCTGAAAACAGACGCTCGTCTGAAGCTGAAAGTCGAACACAAACAGAAAAACGTGTTTGTAACGCAGCTGGAGGAGCACAGGTAACGTTACAGCGGTTCGTGTTACTTGTAAGGGAGCAGTGTAAGTTAATGTAAGGGAGTAATGTAATATAAGTGTGTAATGTGATATAAGTGAGCAATGTAATATAATTGAGTAATGTGATGTAAGTGAGCAGTGTAATGTAAGTGAGCAGTGTAAGTGAGTAATGTAAGGGAGCAGTGTAAGTTAATGTAAGGGAGTAATGTAATATAAGTGAGTAATGTGATGTAAGTGAGTAATGTGATGTAAGTGAGTAATGTGATGTAAGTGAGTAATGTGATGTAAGTGAGTAATGTGATGTAAGTGAGTAATGTGATGTAAGTGAGTAATGTGATGTAAGTGAGTAATGTGATGTAAGTGAGTAATGTGATGTAAGTGAGTAATGTGATGTAAGTGAGTAATGTGATGTAAGTGAGTAATGTGATGTAAGTGAGTAATGTGATGTAAGTGAGTAATGTGATGTAAGTGAGTAATGTGATGTAAGTGAGTAATGTGATGTAAGTGAGCAGTGTAATGTAAGTGAGCAGTGTAAGTGAGTAATGTAAGGGAGCAGTGTAAGTTAATGTAAGGGAGTAATGTAATATAAGTGAGTAATGTGATATACTGTAAGTGAGTAATGTAATATAAGTGAGTAATGTGATATAAGTGAGTAATGTGAT